TTTTTTTATTATCATTACTATTTTACAAATGTTGATAACCAAAGTGTTTTAGTTCAAACCACTTTAGATGTTGCAGTGAACTAATCAATTTTTATTAACTGTGAAACAGTGTAATGCTTTTTTAATCCTCATGCAAAGTTAGAATTCATGTTAAGGCCTGTTACAGAGTAATTATGCATTTTCTGATTTCTGTCTTTGAATGAGCAGTGTACGTTTTCCAAGGTCAGGAGTCGAAGCAGACATGTGTTGGAACAACTGTCTTGTTTTTACATCCTCTCAGACGTCAACAGAGAAGTTGGCACCTGTTTCTCCAAACTCGCCTGTCTGGGAACATTTTCAATCTGTTCCAATAACATTCTTGCTGTTTTCTGACTTCTAGTAACCTCTTACATCACAAAACACACCCCTGTCTGGTTGATATTGACCAATCAGGAACTCTAAAATATACCGGAAATAGAGCCTTTAAAATGTCGGTACTTCCTAGTGCTCCCAGTTCTGAAATGATCGAGTGCTGAGATGATCGTAGTTCTGTGTGGTAGCAGTTCGGAGATGTTCGGTGAAGTGGCAGTTCTGTGATGTGCCCAGTTCTCAGTTCTGTGAAGTTCTGTTGGAGTCTGGCTGGGAAACAGGAAAACCCTGACATGATAGAGCTCTTCCGAGTTTTATGGGATTATAACATCTTCACCTCTGAGTGGAACTCGGACGAACCCCACTCATGTGAGGTCCACTGGCTGGTGTGAACTTGTGTCAGACGGGATATCGTCAATACTTCGGACGAGTCACAGCCATCCTATGGAGACGCTGAAAGGTAGCGTTAACTGGAGCTCCTCTTCTTCTGATTCATCATCAGAGAGGTAAATGAGTCTAGACCACTACTGAGCGTACTTAAGAAAAGCTGGGTCGGATGGAGGGTGTCGTCCTGTCAACACTTTTCACTCATACACACCACATTCTCCCCATCCATCTTTCATTCCCACTAAACTTCATCTTTCCATCTTTAAAAATTCTTCTATCAAGTAGAAATCATTGACAGATATGTTTAGAAATGTCTGTGTAAAGTGCTCATCCACCGCCGTGTGGATAATTGATCATAATTGTACAGCTCGCTGATTAATTATGTTGTTATTTTCATATTTTGCCAAATTAATGTAAATGTTGATGTTAAACTTTGATTCTGTAAATAAATGGCCACATTCATTTTGATGGGTCAAAGATAAATAACGTCTCACGTCCACATTTTATTAAATTCAACGCACGTATGTTACACAGTCCAGAAAAATTAAGAACCCGTTTTAATTGATGAATATATCTCAGCATCTGTTCATCTACACATGTCATCTGCTGGTGTTGGTCCACTGTGTTTTATCAAGTGCAGGGTCAATGCAGCTAGCTATCAGGAGATTTTGGAGCACTTCATACTTCCTTCTGCTGAAAAGCTTTATGGAGATGAAGATTTCATTTTTCAGCACAACATGGCACCTGCTCACAGTGCCAAGACCACTGGTAAATGGTTTACTGACCATGGTATTACTGTGCTCAATTGGCTTGCCAACTCTCCTGACCTGAACCCCATAGAGAACCTGTGGGATATTGTGAAGAGAAAGTTGAGAGACGCAAGACCCAACACTCTGGATGAGCTTAAGGCCGCTATCGAAGCATCCTGGGCCTCCATAACACCTCAGCAGTGCCACAGGCTGATTGCCTCCATGCCACGCCGCACTGAAGCAGTCATTCATGCAAAAGGATTCCCGACCAAGTATTGAGTGCATAACTGAACATGATTATTTGAAGGTTGGTGTTTTTTGTATTAAAAATACTTGTCTTTCATTGGTGGGATGAAATATGCTAATTTTTTGGGACAGGCATTTTGGGTTTTCATGAGCTGTATGCCATAACCATCCATCCATCCATCCATTTTCTTCCGCTTATCCGGGGTCGGGTCGCGGGGGTAGCAACCTAAGTAGGGAGGCCCAGACTTCCCTCTCCCCAGCCACTTGGGCCAGCTCTTCCGGGGGAATCCCGAGGCGTTCCCAGGCCAGCCGAGAAACATAGTCCCTCCAGCGTGTCCTGGGTCTTCCTCTGGGCCTCCTTCTGGTGGGACGTGTCCGGAACACCTCACCAGGGAGGCGTCCAGAAGGCATCCTAAACAGATGCCCAAGCCACCTCAACTGGCTCCTCTCGACGTGGAGAAGCAGCGGCTCTACTCCGAGTCCCTCCCGGATGATCGAGCTTCTCACCCTGTCTCTAAGGGAGAGCCCAGACACCCTGCGGAGAAAACTCATTTCGGCCGCTTGTATCCGAGATCTCATTCTTTCGGTCACAACCCAAAGCTCGTGACCATAGATAAGGGTGGGAACCTAGATCGATCGGTAAATTGAGAGCTTCGCCTTTTGACTCAGCTCTCTCTTCACCACGACAGACCTGTACAGCGCCCGCTTCACTGCAGACGCTGCACCTATCTGCCTATCGATCTCACGCTCCATTTTTCCCTCATTCGTGAACAAGACCCCAAGATACTTGAACTCCTCCACTTGGGGTAGGACCTCCTCCCTGACCCGGAGAGGGCACTCTACCCTTTTCCGTCTCAAGACCATGGCCTCGGATTTGGAGGAACTGATCTTCATCCCGGCCGCATCACATTCGGCTGCGAACCACTCCAGCGAAAGCTGTAGATCACGATCTGATGAAGCCAATAAGACCACATCATCTGCAAAAAGCAGAGACGCAATCCTAAGGCCACCAAAACGGATCCCCTCAACACCTTGGCTGCGCCTAGAAATTCTGTCCATAAAAGTTATGAACAGAATCGGTGACAAAGGGCAACCTTGGCGGAGTCCAACTCTCACCGGGAACAAGCCCGACTTACTGCCGGCGATGCGGACCAGGCTCTGACACGGTCATACAGGGACCTAACAGCCCGTATCAAAGGGCCCGGTACCCCATACTCCCAGAGTACCCCTCACAGGGCCCCCCGAGGGACGCGGTCGAACACCTATTCCAAGTCCACAAAGCACATGTAGACTGGTTGGGCAAACTCCCACGCACCCTGCAGGACCCTGCTGAGAGTGTAGAGCTGGTCCAGTGTTCCACGGCCGGGACGAAAACCGTACTATTCCTCCTGAATCCGAGGTTCGACTATCCGACGGACCCTCCTCTCCAGAACCCCCGAATAGACCTTACCAGGGAGGCTTAAGAGCGTGATTCCCCTGTAGTTGGAACACACTCTACGGTCCCCCTTTTTGAATAGGGGGACCACCACCCCGGTCTGCCAATCCAGGGGAACTTCCCCCGATGTCCACGCAATATTGCAGAGTCGCGTAAGCCAACACAACCCTACAACATCCAGAGCCTTAAGGAACTCTGGGCGAATCTCATCCACCCCTGGGGCCCTGCCAACGAGGAGCTTTTTAACCACCTCGGTGACCTCAGCACCAGAGATTGGAGGGCCCGACCCAGAGTCCCCAGGCTCCGCTTCCTCAGTGGAAGACGTGCCGGTGGGATTGAGGAGGTCTTCAAAGTATTCCGCCCACCGACCCACAACATCCCGAGTTGAGGTCAGCA